TGTGAAAGTAAAATCTGTTGGGCTCCTTTTGGCATCAAGACAATTATTGTTATTGCCACCTTGCCAGACAGGACACTGTTAAAAAAAAAAAAAAAAAAAAAAAAGTTTGCCGCAAGCCACCTGGGAGACACAGCAGACATGTGGAAGAAGGTGTTTTGGTCAGATGAAACCAAATTCTAACTTTTTGGCAAAAATGAGAAACGTATGTTTGGCGTAAAAGCAACGCCGCTCTTTACCCTGAACACACCATACCAACTGTCAAACCTGGTGGTGGCAGCATCATGGTTTGGACCTAATTTGTTTCAGCAGGAACAGGGAAGATGGTGAAATTGATGGGAAGATGGAAAGAGCCACATACAGGACCATTCTGGAAGAAAACCTGCTGGACTTTGCAAAGACCAGAGACTGGGATGGAGATTTATCTTCCAACAAGACAATTATCCAAAACATAAAGCAAATCTACAACGTAATGGTTAACAAATAAACATATCCAGGTGTTAGAAAGGAGAAGAAGAGTCCAGACCTGAATCTTATTGAGAATCTGTGGAAAGAACTAAACCTGCTGCTCACAAACACTCTCTATCCAACCTCACTGAGCTCCAGCTGTTCAGAAAGAAAGAATGGACAAAATCTCAGTCTTTCGATATGAAAAACTTATAGATATAACTCAAGGGACTTACAGCTGTAGGGTACAGCCATCTTTCTGTTGGTAAAAGTTGTCACTGGCAACAGTCCCAAAGGTCACAAGGTGTTAAAATAGTCCTGTCTTTCAGGAACTCATCACATTCACTTCTATCCTGACTGTGTTCACTGCCTTTGAATTAGAAATGTAGGTGAGGCGAGATGTTACTTAAAAAACAAACAAAAAAACAATAGTTTAATTTGGTTCTGGCCTTAAATGCTGTACTTTATAAATAAATTCTGTTGGGTTTTGTATATGGTGTGTTGTTTTTCCAAACAATAGAGCCAAAATTGTTGCTAGGCATCTACATTTGCACCTGGAACTCATCTCGTACAAATGACATAAGTACAGTGATGATTGAAATGGCCTAACGCATAGCCAGGTGGATGAGGACAACCGGTTGATATTTGATGTTCATCTGTTTCTGAATGTGCTTAGGGATGTAGACCTTTATCTTGGTTCAGAAACATCAACACTCTAACTACAGATTACTCTAGTTCAAGCCAGCAGAAATGACAAAGACTCCTGTATAGATTGCGAAACGTGTTGAGAATATCTGAATGAAAGTCCAGCTTCCTCCGCCTTAAGCATAATTTTTTGTATTTGGTGAGACCATTAAATAAACCAAAATCGGATTGGACCAGCAAAAACCTGATTGGTGTATTTTTACTGACAGCTTCTGTTATATAATCACTGTTATTGCTTCATTTTGCTGTTGTAACATTTTTATCTTTCTTCTAATTCCACAAATATTTATAGAGTTTTAACCATTGTTTTGTATGATTGTGACTGTAGACTAAACAAAGGCTTTTCTCTTTTTACAGCCGCGTATGTGGGAGAAAAAGGAAGGGGACACCTGTGAAGGTGTGTGATCGAGCGTATGTAACAGAAGATGAGGAGGAGGAGAGCATGTCAGAGCACAGCTACAGCCCGGGTATATATACACGTCTAACCTGCCATCTGTTCTTACTGTGTTAAATCTTTGTGCTGTGTTCTACTTTCCATTATTCATAGTCGAATGTAATAAAAGGGTTTACTCTGTCGCAGGTGACGGCCAGTACGCAGAAGGTGCTGAAGACCGCCTCCCTCCTCCTGGTAGTCCCTACTACCTGTCTGATCCCACACAGCTCTGGTAAACGACCCTGAACTCCTCCTTCAAAGCACTTTTTGGTAGGATAACCCACTCTGATCCTAAATAAACTTAATGGGTTTCTTTTTTTTCTCAGTGTTCCTGAGCTGGGGGAGGAGGGAGCAAGTGGTGTAAGAGGCCCGGTACTCTTTCACCCGCCTCCCAACTGCCGTATTCGAGAAGTCCACTGTGGTACCCAGGTGCGACTGGTCGTAATAGCGATCCGTGATATCGTGAAAGGGGAGGAGATAACCGTAGACTACAGCCTGACGGACTGGGGAGAGAATGCACTGGTGAGCAGATAACTTTGTTAGAGTAACACTTAAAAAAAATAAATAACCGGCCAAAATGGTTTTAAAGAAAAAAATTGTAAAAAGGTTTTCTGAATTTACCATTTTTTTAAACTGAATTGGCATAATCTGTAGAGAGAGGACACTTTATCTGGAACTTTCTAATCCTTTTTATGCTTTTTGATTATGTGTTATATTACTGTTTGAGGGGTTACTAGTCACATGCAGAAGGCAATCAAAGTAAAAAGAATATATTTAAGCCACCAAAGATCAGCAATTGTTGAATGTAGCTGTATTTTAGATTTTACAATGGCTAATCAGATTTCACGCTCCTCTACGGTTTGAACCCCAGAGAGGCCTTAAGCATCAGGCGTCCTTTTAGTCTTTATAAAAATATCCTAAAATATTTTGTTCTGAAGAAGATGATGTTTTAAACTTTGGATATTTTACTACACATTAATTGTGTGTGCATAGGAATACAATATCAATGTCAAATTCATTAATTGGATTAATTGACAATTGAAATAATTATCAACTAATTTAGTAATGAATTAATCATTAACTGGAGTGTGGATACTCTTAACACACATGTTTAGCTGACAGAGCCACCCACCTTGAGCAGTAATTATACCAAAATTGTAAAAAAAAATTAAATAAATAAAGAATTTAAACATTTTGCATTTAAAATAAAAATCTTTTTCGACTATCAATGTGCCATCCAGTCACTGTACAATCGGAGCAAGAGTTTGGTCCGCATTGCAGGTTGCACCGGTCCTGCTCATAATCTTTATGGACAGGATTTCTATCACTGGAGGGGATAGTGTTTATTTGAGTTATTTCATCATAATGTCAAATTCTAATTTTATCCTGATGTACTTTAGTTATGCATGTTGGACAGTTGTAAGCTGACCCCAGCTGTTTGTCTCCCCAGGAGGAAGAGGCTGGCCCTCACCCTTTGTCCCTCGCTGTATCAGATTACCTCACCCCCTCTTGGTCACTGTCACCCTCCTCCTCCCCGCTCACCCACTCTGAGCCCAGCGACTCTGACCGGGAGGAAGATGAAGAAGAGGAGGATGATGATGATGACGACGACGACGATGAAGAGGAAGAAATGGAGGAGGTAAGGGGTCGAATGCTTCGGCGCCGCAAAAAGCGCAAGCTGCCAGCAGCTGTGGACTCCAAGAAGAAGAGCACGCCCACAGCTTCCAGGGGACCTGGGCGTCCCTGCTCGTCCTTTTCCCACCCGGGGCCCGTCGCACCCCCAGCTCGGCCGCAGGCCCACATCGGCTCCCTGTCGCACCCGACCACTAACATAAACAATAACATCAACATAAATATCGGCGGCTCCAGCAGCGCCGCAGTGAGCCGGCGGCAGCACTGCCCGTACTGTGGCCGCCACTACCGCTCCCTGGCGCGCCACCTTGAGAAGTACCACGCCAACCAGCCGGAGGTCAGGACTGCCATGGAGCTGGCGCATCTTCACACGCACAGCTCTTCCAACGGCAACACCCCACACCCCTCCTCATCCTCCACCTCCGCTCCTCACAGCCATTCCTTCGCCATCCCTCAGTCCTCTGCCTCCAGCCCAGCTCCGCCCTCCCTCTTCTCCAGAGAGAGGGAGTCGCCCGCCACACGCACAGGTACGGGAGGCGTCTCTTTCTCCCTCTCGCTTACACCTCCCCCATCTGTTCAGTCCACGGCTGCAAAGAAGGGGCCCGGCTTACCGCTGCCTGCTGCTAAACTCTCCTCGCCACCGCTGGTGTCCCGAATGAAGAGTCCATCCCCACCTCCCGGTTCTGCTTCAAAGAGAGGAAGGAGGATGAAGAAGGAAAAGCACGAGGAGCAGCAGAAGGTGGAGGTGGAGAGGAACCAAGAGGAGCTGCTGCCGCCTCCCACTCCAGAGCCTGATATTGATCCAGATGAAGATCTGGAGCTGAGCGGAGGGGAAGACGATGTTCCAGAGAAGAACGGAGAAGTTGTAAGGTGTGTTTCTTTTTTCTCTCAGTGGTTATAAATATGCATTTCTTGTGCTTTTTTAAAATTTGCTCATTGAGGTGATTTTTTTTCCTGCATCTTTTATTCTCCAGCACACACAGACAGCATATGTCTCCCCTGCTCTCCTCCCTGTCATGTTTGATCATCTACCTCCGTCGCCAGCAGCATTCCTCTTTCCTCTCTCTGACCCGATCTCCTCACTCTGCCGAAGCCTGGCGCCTGCTCTGCCACTCCAGCCTCTCCCTTCTCATCCTCTACAATCGACACCGGGAATGTGAGGTGGCTAAGCTAACTATTCAGGACTATCGCAACCGGATCACGCCACAGTCCAGCACCAGCAGCCCCTCAGGCATGGAGTGTTTCCTGTCCCCCTTCGAGCGGCAGGTCCTCTGTCACCTCCCACGGGCGGGGGTGTTGGGCAAACGTGGCCGCGTGCAGCCGCTCATTCTCCCGCCTCACTGCGAGTCTTCTCTGGACCTGCTTCTGCGTACCAGTCCCAACGTGGGCGTGGACCCCGAGAGCCCCTACGTCTTCTCCCGGCCGTACCACTCACCCGCCACCCCGCTGCGCGGCACAGACCTGCTGAGGAACTTGGCTCGGGCCAGTGGGGCTAAAAACGCTGGAGCACTGACGGCGACACGAGTGCGGCGCCAGGTAGCCATCCTCACCCAGCTGCTGCTGTTGGAAGAGGGAGAGGGTCATGGAGCGGCCATCAAACGGCTGGAGGACTTCCTGGAGCGGGAGTACCACGTGACGCAGAACTGCTCCTCCATCATACGAGATCCAGCACTTATGGGTCGAGTTGGACGCGTCGTCCTCTATGGAGAGAGGGAGGGGGTGCTTTTCAGGGGGATGAGCCTGCAGGACATCTGCCTGGAGTTAGACGGTGAGGAAATGTTCATGTTTCTCGTTCGTAGGTTGATAAACGGTTGGTTCCCTTCTACTTTACATGATTCAATCGACACAAGGCTGGTAGGATAGGATTAATGAAACCTTTTAGTCTCATAAGTAAACAGGAATGAATGAGTTCTGTAAAGCTATGGATCTATTACAGCTGAACAAAATAAGATGAATACCACTTCAACTTTTTATCATTTTCTAAAGTTACAATTCCAAACTTCTTACTTAAGCCCCTGTCACACCATGACAATTTAGCCAGCATATGCCTGACATCCCAGAATCTTGTCAAACGCTGGCATACGCTGAATTTTCTATGTATTTGTCCAATTTGGGGCGTATAAATAGAGTATTCATAATTAGTCCAGAGCTTATGTCCAACGACAGCCTGACTAACGCGTAATACACGGCAGTGTAATGCCAATGAAATGATGCACAAGCCAGTGCATGAAAAGATTTATGTGATTGCAGCTTTAACCTAACTGCTGTTTACCACCCGCCATGAAAATAAATAAACAAATAAAAAGAAAAAGAAAGAAGGTTTGCACTTGCAGCAGATTCAGCGTCATGTCTGCTATGTTGTTTGTTGGTCGAAGGAATAAACGCAGGGAGGATCCATCACACTCAACTTCTCACTCACCCTGTGATGGGGATGAAGTCTGGAGGAGAACTGACAGTTTCCTTCTGTGAACCCCCTTTTATACCAAAAGACTGCCAATATGCCATTAACAGTAGGTCTAAGTTAGAAACACTTTCAGTGGTCAAATACTTTGATATGTGTTGGAGATAAGTTACACATAATTTAAGCACAAGTTACTTAAAGGTTTTGGATAAGCTGGACGCTGCACCTTATGAGTAACTTACGCTTAAAATGTGTCAACGATCAAAAAACTTAGCTGTAACTTATGGCCCAATTATGAGCATACGCTGTTACACGTCTCAACATACTTGCCCTATATGGAACAGTCTGTTCCATATAGGGCACAGGCTGAAACAGGCTGTACAAGCCTGTTTCAGCCTGTTTCACCGTGCTCATAAGTTATCCAAAACCAATTCCAGTTTTGTGTTAGATTATGTTATCCAGCATAGATTTTCCAGTTTTCAGTGGTTGGTCTGTGGGCCAGATTCAATCTCAGATCTACAAAGAAGCGCTACACTGCACTCTGGTGGACACTGAGAATTTCAACCTAAACCACATGTATGGATTTATTAGCCCAATGTTTCCTGTTTTAGGGTAGCAAGTAGAGCAGAGGTCTTCAACAGGGGGTCCATGGAGGTACTGCATGGGGTTCGCAAACGTTTTGGTTGATTAGACTTTTTTTTGTATTCCCCCCATGCAATTTTTTCCACTAATTGAAATGTCTTTAAATACACATTAATATGAATTCAACACACTGCAGTAAAGATAAATGGAAGCAGATGTCTTTCAGTCATCAATGCACATATTTGGCGACACACAGGAGCTCTTTCACTACACATGTCCCATCAACCAGGAATCAGAATCAGAAATACTTTAATAATCCCAGAGCGAAATTACTTTAATTACTTGACTCCATCTGTAATAGAGTGACTATAGGACCAGTTTGATAGAACAGAATTTCATACATTATAATTAGGGGGTCCCAGCTCCATCTCGCCGTCAGTTTGGCGGTCCTTGGCCTGGAAAACGTTGAAGAACCCAGAGGTAGAGCATTGATTAGAAAAGCAAACTGTGGCAGGAGACAAGAAGAAGGTCATGGTTAAAAGAAATGCACCATGTTAACCCTGACTTTCATGGTCCACCAGCCAAAGATCATTAGGTGTTCTGCTCCCAAACGACTTAATAAAAAAATGGGTGATATATTAATATATGTCTAAGACACTTGATGGCTTTAGGAGGAGAATACGGTATTCATTTAAAGCATCTGTGATGTAGCAGAGCACATCTGGAAGATTTGATTACTTGGAACTTTTTGAGCTGCTCTTTACCCTGAACCACAGTGGTGGCAGCATCAGGCTTTGGGGTTTACCAAAGCCTTCCTTTTCACTTCCTAATTACACAATACCACGTGTTCATCTGTTACATAATGTCCCAAAAATTGATTAAAGTTTATGTTGGTGATACTGCTAAATATAACAAACAGTGTGAATAAAAGGAGATCTACATAATATATTTCCAGGGAATGATCCTTAGTGTTACTGATTAACTTCCATAGAGACGTCTGTTTTTGTTTTGCTTTTTTGTTTGATTCTGGAAGGATCCAATGTGGAGAAACAACCCAAACATTCAACAGAACCACAGAACAGACTTTTAGGTCAGTTTGAAGAGCTTTTTTTTTTTACAGCCAGCCTTCCACAATTTGCTCCCATAGAGGCATCTTGTTCTTAGTTGGACTTGCAGAGCAGTTAATCCCACAAAACATAAATAAATAATAAAAAAAATGCTGCCTTTGCTTGTTGAGTCCTTATATGCAATCCTTTCAATCTCCTTTTAAGCACAGCTCCTCTTTACTTTTTGTAAATCTTGACTGTTTTTACTTTTATTTGTCAATGATTTTCTTATTGTTGGAATGCTTCATAGCATCCAAATGCACACATCTAAGGTTATAATCAAATTATTTTATAAATATGTGACATGTGATACTGGCAGAGGTTAAATTGTAAATTAAAGTGTGAATTGAATAATTTTGTAAGGAAGGCAGGAAAAGATTCATACATGTAATTTGCTCACCGAAAAAAAGAATGCAACCGTTTTTTGCATTTACTTAATCATATTTAGTTACTTTAACACAATTGTTTCATGTTAGCAGGGTATGCCATAAAACAATTGTGTTAAAGTAACTAAATATGATTAAGTAAATGCCAAAATCGGTTGCATTCTTTGGAAAAAATTGAATCTAACTTTGAGATGCTAACACATTCTGCAGCAGCTGAGTAACGTTCACGTTTCTCTTCCAACAGTGATGTCTGGCAACTCAGGAGATTCATTTTCAGAAGATTCAGAGGCGGATGAAGAGAAGGACGACACAAAGGAAAAGACGGAGGCGATGGTGAAGAAGAAAGGACCCGGCCGACCACCCAGGAAGAAACCAGCACCTGCTCCTCCACCCCCACCCGCTGTTAACCCATCTGTAGCTAACGCCCAGAAAAAGAGACCTACTCCAGTCAAATCAGGTGACTTTATCTGTCAATGGCAGCCTGTGGCTTAAGAGGTTTACATTTGTCCACTAATCACCCTGGTTGGCGTCTTCCTGCAGGAAAGCGGGGGGTGCTGAAACGACCCTGGTCTGAGGCAGAGCGCGTAGCTGTGGAAACCCACCTCAAGAAGAACCTCCTGGATCTGCGGGTCCCTGCGAAAGCAGACTGCGAGCGCTGCCTGGAACTCTGCCCCCTGCTGGTGAGCAACCAGCGAGACTGGAGAGCCATCAAGTTTTACGTACACAACCGGATCCAGCTGCTGAAGAAGCAGGGGAGGAGAGAAAGTGCTGCAGCAGTTAGCTAAAGAGAAATGAAGCAAATGCCATAATGTATAAACCACCAGCAGTCAGGAGGAACTGGCTCAGGCTAAGAGGAGGAGCAGCTGAGGTTTAGGTGTTTTCCATTGTCTCATCACCTTGTTTAAAAGGGAGAAGTGTAATAAAAGCGATTAAGCTATGTGGACAGACTGGATGAGGATAAAATGCTGTCTGCTTTTGGACAAAATGGGGTTAGGAGCTCTGAGGGCTTTTTGTTTTATTTTCTGTGTCCTGTTTACTTTGTTAGTAAACTTAACGAAGAGGAAAATATGGGAGAAAGTGTGTTAGGAGCAAAGAGTTGACGCACAAAGCAGATGGGTCTCAGTTCCTGAAGGCTGTTGACCAAACGTAGATGTGTAAACCATTTGGAGAACAAGACTACATGGACCCATATGAACCTGTACAGTATGTGTTTGATGCTCATGTGTGCCCCAACAGATATGTGTAATGAAAAAAGAAAAAACAGAGTATTCCTGAGTGTCTCAGACCATGATGCACCTGTTTTAAGTGTTTTTTTTTTTTTGGATACCTCCATACCATCGTCATAGATTAGTGTCAAGGCACGTCTACTTGAATTCACAACTCTTAAAGAAATATGTATTTCAGAATCAACATAAGAACTTTATGTAAGAACTCTGCAAATAGTTCCTGATCTATAAAAGTAAGAGATTGTGAAAGCAAACCTGGCAGTGTTTCTTTCTGTATATAAACTGTAAATACTACCTGTACTTATTAAAGTGTATGACATTTTGTTGTGTTTTCCTAAACTGGATTGTAAAGTGAATTTTGCATTGTGAAAATGACGAAACAGACATATGGAAAAATCTTGGTATGTTTTCTTTATTTATTAAAAAGTATGAATTTATTTTTTGACAATTTTTCATGTGTAGATGGGTCATTATGCAGGAGCATAAAAAATCTGCAAAGCGATGAAAGTTTAAAAAAAAAAAAAAAGGTTCTTAACCAAGTGATGTATTTCAAGGGTTATGTGTTTTAGTTTTTATGAGGTTCTCAGAAAGTCAGAACATAAACTAAAATGTTTTTAAGGGAAGGGTGTGGTTATGTAACTGACACTGGATATGCTGCTGATTTGACAGTTGTCCAGCAGATGGCTTCATTCACCCTCTGAGAGAGTTTAGATCTCCGGAGTTCTTTATCCAAGCAAATATCTAAAAGGATGAGTAGGAAGAAAAATAAAGATTATAATGGACTAAAAACTAAACCCCTCAAGGAGATTTCACATAGTGTGGGATGCAGCTGGAGTCACAGGTTCAAGAAACTCAACTTACAGCCCTATGCAGGGCATTGGCTCCTTCACTGTAAACCAGTGAAGTGGTCCGATGTCCTCCCTTCAGAGATAAAAGTTTACATTTTTAGTTAGAAATCGAGATCTCAGAGTAGTGAAAGTGTGGAAAACCACATGGTTAAATTTGCAAGAGGAAGTCCATTGGAAAGTTTTTAGTTTGTGATGATTTGTGGAGTCTTTTAATCTGCTGCTGTTGATCCACTGTGTCTCACTTTATCAAGTTCAAAGCCAGAACAGCCATCTACCAGGAAACTTCTAGCACCTCCTGCTTCACTCTGCTGACACATTTACATATGCTGATATAATTTCCAGCAGGGCTTTGCACCTCCTCAAAACTGCCAAAGAAACAAATACCTGCTTTAATGATATAGTCAACATGACCATGTTTGTCATCACTTTGCCTCTGTCTTGATAAAGATATTCCCATGATCTTTATATACTTATATACTGTTAGATTCAGCTAAATTTAACAGCTCTTAGATTAATTTAATGATAAGAAGATTATGGACTTTAAACCACAGATTTTTCAATTTCTGATGAACATTTTGATTAATCAGTAAATGTTATCAGTTCTTGTGAGAGTAGTGGACTTTAAGTCAGGTCATCTAGACCTGAGCAGAATCATTTCATATAGTAACTCTTCTCAGGTCTGAAGATTTAAATGTTAAGCTTGTTATTATTTTTTTTCTTAACTTTTTCCTATCTTACTGAGGCTCAATGTTGCTTTTTCACATAAAATGTATTACAAAAACCCTAATGATATTATTTCCAGGATTAAAACAGATTCATAATGATGCCAACTCAAATTCCCCCCCCACTGTAATTTTCACTGGAGTTTACTGTGAGCAGAGCCCCTTTAAACTTTCTCCCTCTGAATTCTAAGTCATAGGTGACTGATCCTGCTCAGGTCTCTGTATTATTACCATAGGTAATTTATCACCTTTCCCGGGGTTAAAAAGTGGGAACAGTTCCCCTGAAAATTTGGTTGCCAAAGTTCCAATCAGAGATTTCTCTTCCACATTATAAAAGAAGAGCTCTCCATTGTCATAGTCTAAATAAACACCGACTGTTTCTAGTCTTGACTGAACAGGAAAATATATCTGTGGTTCACTATTAAACTGAACACTATTTTCTTTATCAGGACAAGAAGAAAGGAACCAGAAACCATTTGTTGCAGTTGGACACAAACTTTGATCTTTAGGGATTTCTTGTCTATCTGTAACTCCGATCCACCAGGACCTCTTAGGTGACATCCAGGTTCTACCTAAGGAAATCTCCCAGTAGTGTCGTCCAGAGGAGAAGCCAGGTGATCCTCTGACTGCTGTGAGACAGGTAACTCTGTCTCCATCTGGAAACTCTACTTGATTATCTCTCAATAAAGAACCACTCATTTTAATTAGCTGGTTTCCTGTGTCCATCAGTTGAACATTCACTGTAAAAGATATGAAATTAGATCATAATTAATATAATCATACAGAAAATGTTAAAATGGAATAATACTAAATGTAAATTTACCATAGTGTTTGGAAGCCTCTGATAGAGCAGTTGGCAGAAAATCTAGAGGAGAAAACATCATATGAATGTAATTTATTTGTATTATAAAAGATGTCTCTGACAGCTTGATATACTGTGTTCTTACCTTCACACATAAGGGATTCAATTTCTGTGAGGAAAAAAAAAAGCTTTTTAGAGTTTTTGTAAATCCTGAATATGAAAAATTTGAAAAGATCTACATCTACAGGAGCATTTCTTGTTAGTTCCTCCAACAAGCCATACTGTTTATTTATATACGTTAATGCTTCTAACATGTCCCTATTGAAACCTTCAAAGGTCCAGAGAATTTAAAACAACTAAATATTCCTAAAATAGTAAAATGACTCTAATAGAATATTAAGTTAGATATGAATCATGTGTACCTTCAGGACTGCTCATGCGTTTTCCTCCTTGTAGAAGAGAAGATATTTTTTTAATTAGCTTAAGTTCTATTTGATTATTTTATCAATTGTACACATTAAAGAGACTAATTAAAAGACAAATAGTTGTATAGAGTGTAATTCTCACTTTAATCATTAAATTTTGAAACATGACTGTAGAGAAATCAGATGAGGATTTAAATATTTTTACTGGAACTATTACTGTGTGATCAGGTGTTTAAATTCATCATAACAGACCATATGTGTTAATGTTTAAGCATGTTAAAACAAATTGGAGGTATTGTGCAAATCCCAGTAAGGGTTAGGGTTAGGGTTAGGGTTATACTTTGTTTCCCAGAGACAATGAGGTAAATCAGTTCAATTCAAATATATAAAAAAAATGACATTATAAAATATCCATGGATATTGACACTTAAGCAACATGAAAGTCTTTCTGCAGTCAAAAATGCACACCAAAAACAGCATGTTAAGAAAAAGTGACTCTATACTTGTTTTAAAATGTTTTACTTTATCTTTTAACTCGACTTCATGTAACCAAATCTCATTTTTGGTCTTTCATATGTTCACTGTGCTCCTACAAAAATGTATAAATGAGTAAAACAGACTACACATTTGTCACTTCAATATGAATGCAATTACTAGAAAATATTTTAAAATGTCTGTAAACAAATACATTCAATGAGTTTTTGAAGTTTCTTACCATCAGTTGTAACATTTTCTGATTTGGTCGTTTTAGCTGAAACAAAATGTTTTTCATTGTATGAAATCAGTTATTATTTAAATGTTAATGTAAATTAATGACTTCATCTCTGCAAACTATCTGAGTTTAATCAAATATTTACCTTTCTTTGTGAAGTACAGTGCTCCACCAGCAGCTAATGCAAGTACAGCTGCTAGAAGTATCCCAAAGGCCACCCATCCAGCTGGGGAGGATCCAGGAAAAGCAAACATCTTAGTAGACATTTTTCTAATGAGGAAAACATGATGGAAATACCAGGTACCTTTTTGTACATATGGTGAATGTTTAATGTGCATTCTGGCCTCCTTTGGCATTTCATTGGGAAGCCCAACAGAGCAGGAGACCTCAGACATACTGGGGAGGAGGAGCCAACTGTGGAGTGAATAAAGCCCTGCAGAGGTTTTGTCAAACAGCACATCACCAGGAGTGAGAGCTTCTTTCCCATCTGACCAGTGCAGCTCAGGCTTTGGATACCAGCCTTCAGATTCACAGCTTATATTAACATTTTTATCGTCTTTAATCACTGCTGAAAGGAGAGGATGACGTCCAGTTTCTGGAATAGAAAGATCATCATTTCATGTAGAATTTGTTCTGTTTGATCTTTTGCCTCATTTTGTTTTACGGTACTTGTTCTCACCTGTCACTGTCAGACTAACAGCAGCACTGTCATATTCCTCAGAGCTGCTGAGAAAGCAAGTGTAGGTTCCTGTGTCTTCAATCATGGTGTTTTCCAGCTTCAGGCTGACATCACCTGACTTTAACCCTCCTGATGTTCCTTCCTTTAAGCCAAATGAGACTCGGCCAGCGTATGAAGCTTTCTGAGATGTGTGGTCAAAAGCTTTTCCCTTATAAAGCATGACTGGAGTATCAAATCCATCACTGCCCAAATACCAGCGCACCTCTAGATCTTCTGCACTCTGAGAGGAACTGCGCCAGCAGGGTAAGATGGCTGTTTGGCCTTGCTGGACTGAGATAGGAGACCTCACTGAAACCATGAAAGTCTGCGAAACTAAAAAGTGGGAGAAGTTGTTACTCAATATCCCATCTACCTTGCATTTTTCAGGAGACTGCATGTCAGTTAATACATCAAGTTCCCAATGATAAAGAAACCTGTGAGTCATAGCTCACCACATAATATGTGGCGGCCGGCCCATAGGGGGCGCTGGGGCACCGCCCTCCCTGATAAGAAAAGAGAAATGTAAAATATATTTTTACAAATTAACTCATAAATGTCAGTTTTACTCTCTAGAGTGTGTACCTATAAGCAAAGCAAATTATATAAACTACATTTCCCTACCTACTGTCATTCATTTGTGGATTTCCACAGACAGACTCCTACCGTCTCTGTCTTGGGGCGCTGATCAGACTGCCCCACATGTGCAGAGAATATGCCAATCATGTACTATTGCTAGGTGAATTTAATAATTTAATGGCCAATCAGCGTCTCAGAATTTTATGGTCTTGGGGCACTGAAAATACTGCCCTTTAACAGGCTTCTGCACCCAATGCGCAGGTGCAGACAATTAGAGGGAAGATGGCGAATGTAACGAGCGAGATGCAGCTTCCACCAAATTCGGTAAGATCCTTATTTATCTACCCGTTTGCCAGAAGAACATCCCTGTTGTAGGATATGAACATTTCATGTTATGGTTATTGTGACTGTGACGAATCCACCTCGTCGCTTAAAACAACCTCTCTAACTTTGCGTGCCACACACACATTCCCGTTATACTGTGCTTATGAGGACCAATACCCTCGCGCTAAGGCCTTCAGTAGCTCCATTAACTTAAAACACACAAGCTGTTCCTGGTTACCTGCTGGCGTATTGAGGGTGCACACTTAATATTTCAGTGGGGTTAGCCGTGTGTGTGTGTGTGTGTACGTGTGTGTGCTATGGGGACTTTTCATCTTCAGTCTGGCGGTGTCTTTGCTGGGTTCAAACCCGAGGCAACGCTCAGTAAGCTGTTAAAACGCCAGAGTTGTTGGAATGCGGAAGTGACATCACCAACACGTGACTCACTAAATGTTTGTCAGATTATTTTTTTTAATTTTATGTTTAAAAGTTTAGTGTAATTGAATAAGTCAATGAATCTGTGTAAAGGAATTAAGTTGTAAAAATTATTTGTTTTTGTATAGCAATTGTTTGTGGAGGTAATATATGGAGAAAACTGATTAATGAGAAGAAATCAGAAATAAGAGAGCCTGAGGTGAGGGGCTTAAACTATTTAATGAGGGCTGTGGGAAGAAGAGCGGCCGTTTTTGTTTTCTGTTTCTTTGTTACATTGCTGGTAACTGGAGGGAGGCTGAGGCCCAGAGTATCTTGTATATGTTTAGTTTCTTTTGCACCCTGTTTTGAGTTTTTGAGCACAATATCACCAACACCGGTAACCCGACTGAGCCTGGATTCTTGGAGGCCAAAGAACCCCGTCACAGTGACCAAAACCATCACTGTTACTGTTATTATATAGTAAATTAAATCATTACTGTTAAATTGTATTTATTGTCCAATTGTTTATTTGAATTCTTATTCTGGATTAGTTGGAGACATACACTAGGCTATATCAGCCCCACCAAAAATATTTTTCACCAGCCGCCACTGCCATATATGTTAAAATATTAGCAAGTAGAGAAATATTCTTCTTAATTGTGTCATGATATTAGCGCTGGTGGATGGCTTGGTTGCTGATTTCTCATTACTCATCATATATACCTGTTCTAGCTTCTATTTAAACTGCTTGCTCCCAGTCATCAGTGCCATATTATTCTTGAGCCTTCAGTGTGAAAATTATTCTAGCAAAACTGATTGTGTTCCGATTGCCTGATCCTGACACGTTTTGCTTTTGAACATCTGAGCCTTCCTGTCCCTGTTCTGACCTGTTTGCCTGACCTGTCTTCGGACACCTGTTAGGAATCCAGTCTGTGTGGGTTGTGTTTTTATTTGTTTTCCCTCCACCACCAGGTTGCGCCTGGTTCTCGTTGGTCCTCTCACACACCTGCGGATGGTTGCCTCATTACCCGAGGACTCTTAAGCTGCTGACTGCCACTACCTCAACGCCAGAGTGTTTGCCAGTTTTGGGTACTCTAGCCAAGCTAAGTTTTTGCTGAGTCAAACTGAGTTTTTGTCAACCTGAGTCTTAACCTTGTTGTTTTTGTGTTTGCCTCTCGGCAGGAAGTCATCCTGCAAACTGGATGTTTTGGACCTTCTCTCCCTGGAAGGATCATCTGAGCTTCAAACTGAGCTGGGGATTCAAACTGGAGGCTTGGATCTACTTTTCCCCAAAGGATTATTTGAGCTTCACACTGAGCAAGGGATTCACCTCCACAAGCAACCATTGGAAATCTAAGTGGCAGTCAGCTCCTCCGTTCCTCAAGGTAACACCTCAACCTGGGTAAACCCTGTCCGCCCTCCAAAGAGCAAGTCAATAACTGGAACAACCCTCACCGACTGGATTCAGAGAAAGACACCTTTTCTGGAAAAGTGAGTCCTTTTGCCTTTATTCCGTTTTGCAAATCGAAGCTCAAATTTCCCACTGAACCTGAACTAACCACAGGAACTTCCCCTTAATTTTTCAGTCGTGGTTCATCAGTGTTCAGAGCACCACTGGACCCATCTCTACCAGTTTTTAATAAACTTGTTAAACCTTCCCCTGGTCTCTCTGTTTGGTTTTCTGCATGTTGGTCAGATCTTTGAATAAAATCATGACAAAGAGTTTTCTGTCTCAAAAGCCCTAGCCGCTGCTACTACAGATCCGCAGTCTGTTTATTTCAATAAACACTTTTTAAGTAATACCACTGTATGTCTTGCCTGAAAATGGGTCCTTCTGTTCTGAGTGGCAGAATAATCTGGCCAAAACATGGACCCATCGGCAGACAGACAGTTGCGATCAGATGTCGAGTAATGCATTTCTCGGCTCAAGTCAGGTATGCAGGAGACTCTAAATGACTTGCATATTCTGGCTACCCCCTGATTCTACACTTCTGCATATGACAGCGGCCACGTCTATGTCACCTGCTGATAGATAAGTTTGTAATGTCTCTTCCTAAACTGCTTAAGGGTGATTCAGAGCATTGTCGGGCCTTTCTGACTCAATGTGAAATTCATTTCAAGCTTCAGCCCTCCGCGTTCCCCTCTGATAGGGCCAAGATGGTTTATGTAATTTCACCATTAGCACACCTAACAAGATCCTCTCTGGTAAAGGGTAGCACTCGTCTGAGGCGTACCAGACTCTCTGCTTACCCAGGTCTCCTGTTACCTAGATCTCAGTTAATAAATTCCAGAACCCATGAACCTCCAGCATCTACGGACCCAGCACCCACGGAATCTGATCCTGTTTGTACTCCGACTTCATAATCTGGACTGTAGTAAAGTTTTTCAGTTAACTGTACACCGGTTAGTAAATAAAGTTCGTAATGATAAAGGTTCAAACTTGTGGTTCATGGCTCACCAAAAATGTAAAAATATTAGTAAATAGCAAAATATTCTTATTAATTGATGACATTAGTAAACTCTTAATTAAAATCATGAATGGGATTAATTTATTCTTTGTTTATTTTCTATTTACATGTTTATTTCCACTGCTATAGCAAAAGTGCATATTTAGAATCAGAATCAACTTTAGGAAACTTTGTGAAAACAAAGAATTTGACTTTGGTTTCACTTTACCCTAAGCAGAGGTGGACAGTAGTTAGTTGAGGAATAGTTCTACCATATTGCATATTTCCCTTGAGAGAGTAAATCTTATGTTTCTTGAGGCAGAATATGTCATTTTATAATCATGGTAGTTATCTGAATAGGTTGTTTTTTCTTAAAAATAGCTAAACTTGTACAGAACCTTATTTTTTTGTCTGCCTGATCACATAATTCTAAAATATAATAATCAGTTGCTCAGTACTCAACTAACCTTTTTACACAAATTATTTCTGCATTCTTAATGCATTAGATGGTAACTTTTTGACTTTTACTAAAATATGTTAACATAGCGGTACACCTAGTAAGTAAAGTGAAATTTCCTGCATACCCTTCAACTCGGAGTATAAACATTTTAATATAATTGTATGAATTTTGATGGAAATGAAGTATTCTTTTAGCACATATGAACAAGTTTCTACAAAAGAATAAGAAAAGGTTGAATTAGAGCAAACATGCATGAGAATAGAGTTTATCTGATTGTTCAAAATGTTTTTAAATCAATGCTTAAGAGGAGAGTGCATATGATTTGCCTGTAAGTGTATCTACAAAGAATTATTTCTTAAATTTCTTTAATTATAAACATAATGTAATATGATATTTTAGTGCAAGAACATGCAAGATTTTAAGGCTTTTTGCAATCACCAGGATTATAATAAATGAGTGGAATGTATTATTTTGCATGATACAGAGAGAGCATATTAGATAAAAAAAAATTAGAGTGGGGTTTACCTCTGTTTGCCTCTGCACAATTCTATGTCTTCAAAAGAAAACACAGGATAAATCCACATATAACAGACTTATTTAGACTATATTTGGTTAAATAGGCACTGTCTTAGTCGCTGGTAAGTTTAAATGCAAACCTTTGTAAATTTGAAAAAAAGTCTTAGTTCCACATTCATCAGAGCCAGTGATGCTTTAAACATTGATAAACAGCATCTAGTTTGTGTTGTGCTTATAAGATTTGTATTAATGTAGCAGGAAATGCTGCTGTTCTCTTTAAACAAAATGTGCCCTGATGCTCACATTTAGCATTAAAAAAACAGCATGCATATTTTTGCATAGGACCAATAACATCAGACCAATGAAAATAAAGAGCAAAGGTGTCCCTACCAAAGTTGAAATCAAACCCACGCCCTTGAGAATAACTATTTACTCTTATGAGACAGGTGGATGGAAGAAACTTACCAAGAGCAGCATAGCCTGGTGAAGTGAGCAGCGCCAAAAAACACAAGTGAAGCACCAAATTATCTGTGATGAGAAAAAGCAAAACAATAGGTAATTATAATAAACAGTAGCAATTCGATGAAGACAAACATGGTTTACAAATCCTTACCCCCTAAGGCTGCAAATATAACACCATGCCAACCCATTGTGTCTCTATAAATCAAAGGTCACACAGACATAGCTGCAAAAAAACATTCGGTGTTGGATTCTTCCTGACCACGCAAGTTTTTGATCTAATGCCATGGAGATAAATTTAACCTGTAATCAGCTTTTAGTGGACACATAATAACAAATAAAAAAAAGAAAAGAATAGACGCAACAGCGACTGTTCAGAGTACTTTCACTTTCAAGGTTAATGTCATGCAACATTGTTGTTGGTGGAGGAGGAGGTGGAGTCTCTCCTACCATATCCTAGTTACAGGAATACATTGGCTCTATTAAAATTTATGGGCTGTGTCTTCCAAGGATGCGGTCTACCTGGACTGAATCCTTTAAAGTCCTTTGAAAATAAGGAGGCCGGAAGAGTTCTGGCTGTGAATTCCAGCTGCTTTCCCCACTGTATGCTGTGTCACTTAGCAACCGTGACAGTTGACACACAAAGCAGAAAAAGAATACCGAACTTTTCACTGTTGTTTCTTTTTAATTTTTATCTTTTTTTTATTGTGAAGTGAACAAAGGCTACACTCATGAGAATACAGAGTGGAATAAGGGTGACAAACACCGGGAGCATTACCAAATAAAATCAAATGTTAAATAACCTGCTGCTGTCATTTTGCACATCTATGATATTGCTGCTATTTTCAAATATCCATTACTGTACAAAATGTCCAGAGCTGTATATTGGTTATTTATTCTCCAGGTGCACAGTTTTTATATTGTTAAAACACTTTAGAGTACAGTATTTTATTGTCTATATTTTAACTCTTCACTCTAATGCTATCTTATCAAGGGCGTAGGTTTGATTCCAACTTTGGAAGGGACATTTTCATTGGTCTGATGTCATTGGTCCTGTGCAGAAATATGCATGCTCTTTTTTCATGTTTAATGTGAGCATCAGGGCACATTTTGATTAAAGAGAACAGCAGCATTTCTTGCCACATTAATACAAATCTTATAAGCACTATACATACTAAATGCTGTTTAGAAATATTAAAAAGAATCACTGGCTCTAACAAATGTGGAATTAGGACTTTTTCCACTTTGAAGCAGTTTGCATGTAAACTTACCAGTGGCTAAGACAGTAGGTAAATATGTGCCTATTTAACCAAACATAATCTAAATATGTCTGTTGTATGTGGATTTGTCCTGTATCTTACAAAAAATAATACATTCAAGGGATGGCAAATAAATGTATTGTATTTACATGAGCACTGGAATTATAAGAGGAACTGACACTGAGCATTTAAAATATTAACTTTACTATACAAGTTGTACATATGGGCTGTAGTTACTCTGTGCAGCCCATTTCATGTATTTTATTTAGGGCTGAAACAGTTAATCATATTAATTGATTATTTAAATAATCGTCAACTAATTTAGTAATTGATTAATCCACTTAGAGCAGGAATTATACCAAGATTGTAAAAAATATGTTAAGATTTTGCATTTAAGATAAAAAATAAAAAGTTTTTGTCTGTCAATATTCTGCATCCAGAACTCTTCAAGAGGAAACATTTCTTTTTCACCTGGTTTAATTTCGTAAAAAATCTTCTTTAAGGAACCTTTGGCTGATCTGATTATTAATTGATTAATTGAAAAAAATAATCAACAGATTAATCAATTTCCAAACTAATCATAAGTTGCAGCCCTAATTTTATGGTAACATTCCAAACACATTTCTTCCATCATAGAGCACTGAAGAGCAGCTGCTTCACCCTGAGACTGCCCTGCATCATTATATCTGGGTTTCCTACAGTCATTTAATGCATCTATTATACAAGTGTTTTTAATAGTAAAGGATTAAATGTAACACAACCTTTTATCATCATCCTATATTGCTTACTGTCTGACTGTTTAAATAGCTCCTTATGTCTATTTTCGTTTTTAGTTGAATCATCTACAAACACAACACTAAGAATAAGCCTAAGTTTAAATAAAATCTAAAATAATTTTTAACAAAAATAAAAGACAATATAACATTATCTTATCTGTGATGTAATAGTATCCAAAATAAACAGCCAGATTCAAGCATTATTTACCAGACATTAATGTTAGTTATAGAAAGAAGATTAGAATCAATGTAAATAGAGTCCCCCTGTTTGTCTTTATCGCATTTCTAGAAATAGAAGTCAATTAAATAGAACTATTTTTATGTGGAAAACAAAAAGTTTGCATCCTTCTCGTGTTGTTCTACAAAAGTTATTTATACCTGAACTGCCGTCAAAAATGAAAACAGTAACAGCAAATAAATATTGGTGAAAGGGAATCAGAAATGTTGATAGCTTACAGTCTTTGTTCATTTTAACAGCAGTTTTCTGAACTCCTGTCTGACTCAGAATATTTAGTTTTAGAAAAGAAATCCTAATGTTGGTTACTTCCATTACTCAAGTTCCACAAATCAAAACTCTCTCCTGCTTCTTTATAGAACTACAATTAGAAGCTTTGGCCTGTTTTAGCATAGATAATATTTAGTTTTTTAATTGGGACTAGTTTCGCAGCCTAACATTAATTTTGGTAACTGTTGTATTCTAGTGTCATTTTTTTTATTTCGCACCCCACACACGCACATACAGACTAGAAAACAAGCAATCAGAAAGAGATAAAGCGGAACTCCAGGCAGAAAAATCAGAGTGGAGTTAAACAGCGCAGCACAGTTACGCTGCTATGTGAAAAGTACAGGAAAGACCAGGCATCTGCAGCTACCAGCCAGAGGAGCTGCGAGAGGAAAACAAGCGACTGCTGCAACAATGCTGGATTGTAAATTATAAACATGTTGTTCACATCAAATTATTAGTAGCAACAAGTAGGTCGATCCAAAATTTTGGTAGGGACATGTCCCTATGGTCTCTATGCAAACCTACGCCCATGATATAGGCCTTCAGGGCCTTAGCTTCCAGTAACGAGAGAAAGTATAGTCTGTCTGTAGGAGGCGTGGTGTCAGGAAGTACATCTATGGGACAGTCAAAGCAATGATGATTAAACCAGCACTAGTGCCAAGAATCATGTCACACTGCCTCTACTGTGAAACATGGAGGAAGCTCTATTATGATCTGGGGCTGCTTGGCCTCATCTGGTACAGGGTGTGGGGAATCTCTGCAAGGTCAATGAAACCTCAAGATACTACAGAGAAATGTTCTGCCCAGTGTGAGAAAGCTTGGTCTCAGTCAAAGGTCTGGGTCTGCAGCAGGATATTGACAAAAACAAACACCTAAGAATGAGGAAAACATTGGACTATTCTGAATTCTAAATCTTGTAGAGCGCATTGGGAAGGAGCTGAAAGATGCCATCTGGAAAAGGCAGCCTTCAAACCTGAGAAGACTGCAGCAGTTTGCTAATGAGGACTGGAAAAAAATACCTGCTGAGAGGAGCAGAAGTCTCAATGACAGAATAATCGATTGATTGCAGTGATTGCTTCAAAAGGTTGTGCAGCAAAATATTTACCGGTACTTAAGATATCATCATTCCTGTTCAGGCCTGATTCATGAGTGTAGTTTTTAAAATGATTATTTTGAAGGATGAATGAAAAACAGTATCTGAGTTTTATTTATATATTCACATATGATTTTTATTTATTATTTTTTTTGTCAGTTTAAGTTATTTCTATGATCAGATACATAGAGTGGTTTGTGAAGCCCAGGCTTCTTAAACCACTTTATGTATTGGTTGTAAAGACTTTAAGTCACTATGAAGTTAAATGTATTTATTGGTTTGTAGTAAGTAAGGGTAAGTGTTTTACACCGTAAGCATACACGCCCATTTTTCCTTCAAGCAATGTCTTTCTATAAACAACATAAGGTAGGAGAGACTCCACCTTCCTACTCCACCAACAGGTTGGATCACATTAAAGCTGAAAGTGAAAGTACTCTGAACGGTCATTGCTGCGTCTATTTTTTTCTTATTATAATTTGTCATCTAAAAGCTGATTTCAGATTAAATTTATCTTCCTGGCATTAAATTAAAAACTTGCGTGGTCAGAAAGAATCCAACAGCGGGCGTTTATTTGTAGATATATCTGTGTGAACTTTGATTTATAGAGAGACAATGGGTTGGCAGGGCGTTATATTTGCAGCCTTCGGGGGTAAATATCACCAAGATTCTACTTTAAAGCTGTTTTCATCAGCATGTTATGATTTTTAAACCATGTTTGTCTTCCTATAATTTATTCTATTGTTTATAATTATCTATTGTTTTTATTTTCTTTTTCACAGGTAATTTGAAGTTTTGCTTTTGTTTTTTGGCGCTGCTTACTTCACCAAGCTATGCTGCTTTTGGTAAGTTCCCTCCATCCACCTATCTCATCAGAGTCAGTTATTCTGGAGAATTTTACCTTAAGGGTCGAATTATTCTAACATTTGCAATTTATCTGTTTATGTGACATTAATCTTCCGATTAATAAGTATTTTACTCAGTACATCATTCAGGTTAAGCAGTTTCCACTCATTTGTTGGTCTCCTGTCCCAGTAATTGTTTTTTCATTGGAGCCTGATTTTGCACTAAAAGAAATTCATATCATATTTAAAGGTCCTATATTTATTCCATAGGATCAAAATCCCAAGTTAAAAAATTATTATTTGTAAGCACACTTACAGGCAAATGATTCCTGTTCTCTTAAATATTGATTGTTGAAATAAATATTGATTGTTGAATCGCCACAAGAGCTGATCAGCCGGTTTAAGACAGAGGCGAGATACAACAGAGACGTGGATTTTTGTTTTTGTGAATGAGCTGCCACCATTTATTGACGATTGCACACCGGTACGAAGCCAAGCCCACATCCAAAAGTGGATACCAGAATCCATTAGGGACACAGATGTCAACATTGAATTAGAAATATTTTTGAACAACCATAAACTCTCTTCTCATGCATGTACGTTTGGATATAACTCTCTGACACACATGGAGAATCAACTCGGTTCAAATTTGGAAAAGGGTTTATTTGCAGAAAAATTAGCAACAGACAATTGTTGATGTGGAGGAGGTCCATGATCGGTGGTGTCGGGAATGAGAGTGGAGTTAATGGTAACCAGAAACTTTTGATCGGTGATAAATAAAGAGAGCTTACTTCTGAATGACTCTGAGCTAGGCCTGCAGGGAAGATGGCCAGGGTCCCATGTGGGGAAAGGGTGATGATTATTCCTCTGAAGTGCGATTTGGGTGGTAATACAGAGAACAAGGAGTCTGTAAGGATAAACTCAGCATCAATCAGTATAGGGATCTGTTGTTAGATCATATTAATCTTGAGACAGCATCTGCTTCCCCATCAGAGCGATCTCTCTGGGCTCCCTTCATTGGCTCCATAATTTAGTGTAGTGGCGGGCTGTGGGGTGCGTCCTACGGGGCCGGGCTGGTTCGGGGGTACTTGGATCCTGGGGGTGCTGTGGGGCGCTCGGAGTGGGTTGCCTGGTGGATCTGATACCACCTGATACCACTATATTTAAGATTTTTGTACTCTGAGGTGAAGGGTACCCAGGAAATTCTACTTAAATAGAAGTAGCGCTGTTATCTTGTTTTAGTAAAAGTGAAAAGCTGCCTTCCAATGAATTATAAATACAAAAATAGTTTGTATAAAAAGGTAACCTTAGTACTGAGCAACTTTGTATCACATTTCAGAAATATGTAATTGGGCAGACAAAGAAATAAGGTTCTGTACAAGTTTTGCCATTTTTAAAACTGAGAAAAGACAACTTATTGAGATACTTTCCACGATTATAAGATGACAAATTCTGGCTGAAGATACACAAGATTTTACTCAAGTAAAAGCAATATTTCTAATAATCACTCTAGTAAAATACACAATGCAGTAGAAGTACTCCTCAAAGTACTTGATTGTATTTGTAACTAACTACTGTCCATCTCTGCTGAGGGTAAAGTGGAACCAAAATCAAATTCTTTGTTTGCACAAACTTAACAAAAGTCGATTCTGATTCTATATGATCTTTTGTTACCAGCAGTGAAAAAAGCATATTTAAACAGAAAATAAACTAATTTATAAAATTTATAAAATAAAAAAACTAATTTATCCCGTTCATGATTTTAATTAAGAGTTTATAATGAGGGATATCATCAATTAAAGAAGAATGTTTTTCTATTTGCTAATATTTTTATATTTTTGGCTAGCCATGAACCACAGGTTTCCTTATCATTGGGAACTTAATTTACTACCTGGCGTACAGTTTACTGAATAAAACATAAGACAGATATGACATTAAGGGACAACTTTACGTTGAAACCGTATTTGGTTTAATAAATGCAAAGATGACTGATTGAGATTTCATTTTTTAGTTTCAGAGACTTTCACTGTTTCAGTGAGGTCTCCTATCACAGTCCAGCAAGGCCAAACAGCCATCTTACCCTGCTGGCGCAGCTCCTCTCAGAGTGCAGAACATCTAGAGGTACGCTGGTATTTGGGCAGTGATGGATTTGATACTCCAGTCATGCTTTATAAGGGAAAAGCTTTTGACCAAACATCCCAGAAAGCTTCATACACTGGCCGAGTCTCATTTGGCTTAAAGGAAGGAACATCAGCAGGGTTAAAGTCAGGTGATGTCAGCCTGAAGCTGGAAAACACTATGATTGAAGACACAGGAACCTACACTTGCTTTCTCAGCAGCTCTGAGGAATATGCCAATGCTGCTGTTAGTCTGACAGTGACAGGTGAGAACAATGAAAACAAAATGAGGCAAAAGATCAAACAGAACAAATTCTACATGGAATGATGATCTTTCTTTTCCAGAAACTGGACGTCATCCTCTCCTTTCTACAGTGATTAAAGACGATAATAATGTTAATATAAGCTGTGAATCTGAAGGCTGGTATCCAAAGCCTGAGCTGCACTGGTCAGATGGGATAAAAGCTCTCACTCCTGGTGTTGTGGTGTTTGAGAAAACCTCTGCAGGACTTTATTCACTCCACAGTTGGCTCCTCCTCCCAAGTTTGTCTGAGGTCTCCTGCTCTGTTGGGCTTCCCAATGAAATACCAAAGGAGGCCAGAATGCATATTAAACATTCACCATATGTACAAGAAGGTACCCTTTATCTCTGTTTTGTTTTCTTTCTTAGTTTTTATAAAGAAATATGTCTATTAAACATGTTTGCTTTTCCCCCAGAGTCAGGATGCTCCCCAGCTGGATGGGTGGCCTTTGGGATACTTCTAGCAGCTGTATTAGCTGCTGGTGGAGCACTGTACTTCAGAAACAAAGGTACATTTTTGATTTAAGTCAGAAAGGATGCCACGATAAAGTCAGTACAATAGGTTAACATTTAAATAATTATGGATTTCATACATTGAAAAATATTTTGTTTCAGCTAAAAAGAATAAACCAGAATATGACACAACTGATGGTAAGAAATGTAACCAACTCATTAAATGTATTTATTTACAGCAGTTTTATACATTTTTTAAGATAAGTGGACAAACTAGAACAATTCTTTGCACCCCCTGTTTCTGTTTCATCACATCAAAGCATCAAACTGCAGTCTGTTTTTGGCAGGGATTTTATACGATGTAACAATTAATCATTAGAGAAGGGGGGAAAACAACAACAACAACAAAAACAATAACAATATTATTAATTAATTGATCAGGTTCTGCCAAGAACTGAGCTATTAATCAGGCACTCCATGCATCTGGCATTAATGGGAAGAATGGTACAAAAGAAAGGGAGAGACAGTCCAATTCACAGTTTGCTTCCTGCCATGTAGGAGTACAGTGAACATGTGAAAGGATCTACTATGAGACAAGACCGAAAATGAGATTTGACTACATGAAGTTGTGTTAAACAAAAGAGAACATTTTTCCCTCAGGCAGGTGTGTATCAGGAAATATTTTTAAAAGAGTAGAGTCCCTTTTTCTTAACATGATATTTTTGGTGTGCTCATATAAAATTTCTCTAAAAGAAATTTGAAGTTGTATTGGATAAAATTGCTTTTTATTAGGTATTTTGGACTATGGAAAGACTTTCATGGGGTTTAAGTGTTGATATCAATGTATATTTTTAAGTCATTTTAAAAAAAGGATTTGAATTGAACTGACATACCTAAATGTCCTTGGGAAACAAAGCACACCTCACTGTTGTTTGCACTATCCCTCCAGTCTGTTTTAACATGCTTAAACAACATTAACACAAGGTCTGTTATGACTCCATTTTAAACACCTGATCACACAGTAATAGTTCCAGTAACAATAATTAAATCCTCATCTGTTTTCTCTACAGTCATGTTTCTAAATTTAGTGATTAAAGTGAGAATCACACTCTATACAACTACTTGTCTTTTAATTACTCTCTTTAATGTATAAAATCGATAAAATAATCAAATACAATTTAAGCTAATTAAAAAATTTATTTTCTTCTACAAGGAGGAAAACGCACAAGCAGCCCTGAAGGTACACATGATTCATATCTAACTTCATTTTCTATTAGAGTCATTTTGCTATTTTAGGAATATTTAGTTGCATCAACGTATATAAGATAACAAAATAACTTATTGNACGCTGGTATTTGGGCAGTGATGGATTTGATACTCCAGTCATGCTTTATAAGGGAAAAGCTTTTGACCAAACATCCCAGAAAGCTTCATACGCTGGCCGAGTCTCATTTGGCTTAAAGGAAGGAACATCAGCAGGGTTAAAGTCAGGTGATGTCAGCCTGAAGCTGGAAAACACTATGATTGAAGACACAGGTACCTACACTTGCTTTCTCAGCAGCTCTGAGGAATATGCCAATGCTGCTGTTAGTCTGACAGTGACAGGTGAGAACAATGAAAACAAAATGAGGCAAAAGATCAAACAGAACAAATTCTACATGGAATGATGATCTTTCTTTTCCAGAAACTGGACGTCATCCTCTCCTTTCTACAGTGATTAAAGACGATAATAATGTTAATATAAGCTGTGAATCTGAAGGCTGGTATCCAAAGCCTGAGCTGCACTGGTCAGATGGGATAAAAGCTCTCACTCCTGGTGTTGTGGTGTTTGAGAAAACCTCTGCAGGACTTTATTCACTCCACAGTTGGCTCCTCCTCCCAAGTTTGTCTGAGGTCTCCTGCTCTGTTGGGCTTCCCAATGAAATACCAAAGGAGGCCAGAATGCATATTAAACATTCACCATATGTACAAGAAGGTACCCTTTATCTCTGTTTTGTTTTCTTTCTTAGTTTTTATAAAGAAATATGTCTATTAAACATGTTTGCTTTTCCCCCAGAGTCAGGATGCTCCCCAGCTGGATGGGTGGCCTTTGGGATACTTCTAGCAGCTGTATTAGCTGCTGGTGGAGCACTGTACTTCAGAAACAAAGGTACATGTTTGATTTAAGTCAGAGAGGATGCAGAGATCAAGTCAGTACAATAAGTTAACATTTAAATAATTACTGATTTCATACATTGAAAAATATTTTGTTTCAGCTAAAAAGACTAACCAAGAAAATGACACAACTGATGGTAAGAAACGTAACCAACTCATTAAATGTATTTATTTACAGCAGTTATATAAATTTTTAAGATAAGTGGATAAACTAGAACAATTATTTGCACCCCCTGTTCCTGTTTCATCAAATCAAAGCATCAAACTGCAGTCTGTTCTTGGGAGGGATTTTAAATGATACAACAATTAATCATTAGAGAAGTGGGGGAAAACAACAACAAAAAAACAATAACAATATTATTAATTAATTGATCAGGTTCTGCCAAGAGGTGAGCAATTAGTCAGTCACTCCATGCATCTGGCATTAATGGGAAGAATGGTACAAAAGAAAGGGAGAGACAGTCCAATTCACAGTTTGCTTCCTGCCATGTAGGAGTACAGTGAACATGTGAAAGGATCTACTATGAGACAAGACCGAAAATGAGATTTGACTACATGAAGTTGTGTTAAACAAAAGAGAACATTTTTCCCTCAGGCAGGTGTGTATCAGGAAATATTTTTAAAAGAGTAGAGTCCCTTTTTCTTAACATGATATTTTTGGTGTGCTCATATAAAATTTCTCTAAAAGAAATTTGAAGTTGTATTGGATAAAATTGCTTTTTATTAGGTATTTTGGACTATGGAAAGACTTTCATGGGGTTTAAGTGTTGATATCAATGTATATTTTTAAGTCATTTTAAAAAAAGGATTTGAATTGAACTGACATACCTAAATGTCCTTGGGAAACAAAGCACACCTCACTGTTGTTTGCACTATCCCTCCAGTCTGTTTTAACATGCTTAAACAACATTAACACAAGGTCTGTTATGACTCCATTTTAAACACCTGATCACACAGTAATAGTTCCAGTAACAATAATTAAATCCTCATCTGTTTTCTCTACAGTCATGTTTCTAAATTTAGTGATTAAAGTGAGAATCACACTCTATACAACTACTTGTCTTTTAATTACTCTCTTTAATGTATAAAATCGATAAAATAATCAAATACAATTTAAGCTAATTAAAAAATTTATTTTCTTCTACAAGGAGGAAAACGCACAAGCAGCCCTGAAGGTACACATGATTCATATCTAACTTCATTTTCTATTAGAGTCATTTTGCTATTTTAGGAATATTTAGTTGCATCAACGTATATAAGATAACAAAATAACTTATTGGAGGAACTAACTAGAAATGTTCCTAGATGTAGATATTTTAAAAGTTTCCCATATCCAGAATTTAAAACAAAATCTAAAAAGCATTTTTTGTTTTTTTACAGAAAATGAACCCCTTTTGTCTAAAGGTAAGAACACAGCATATCAAGCTGCCAGAGACAACCTTTATACATATTACATTTATATGTTTTCTCCTCTAGATTTTCTGCTAACTGCTCTATCAGAGGCTTCCAAACACTATGGTAAATTTACATTTAGTGTTATTGCTTTTTAACATTTTCTGTATGATTATATTGATTATGATCTAATTTCATATCTTTTACAGTGAATGTTCAACTGGTGGACACAGGAAACCCGCTGATTAAAATGAGCCGTTCTTTATTGAGAGATAATCAAGTAGAGTTTCCAGATGGAGACAGAGTTACCTGTCTCACAGCAGTCAGAGGATCACCTGGCTTCTCTTCTGGACGACACTACTGGGAGGTTTCCTTACTACCCTTATCAAATGTAAATGCAGCAATGCCACTTAAGAAGTCCTGGTGGATCGGAGTTACAGATAAACAAGAAATCCCTAAAGATCAAAGTTTTCCTCTATCCATCCATGGTTTCTGGTTCCTTTCTTCTTGTCCTGATAAAGAAAATAGTGTTCAGTTTAACAGTGAAACACAGATAAATGTTCCTGTCCAGTCAAGATTAAAAACAGTCAGTGTTTATTTGGACTATGACAACGGAGAGCTCTCCTTTTATAATGTGGAAGAAAAATGTCTGATTGGAACTTTGACAGCCAAATTTTCAGGGGAAGTGTTCCCACTTTTTAATCCTGGGAAAGGTGACGTATCATGTATGGAGATAATACAGAGACCTGAGCAGGATCAGTCAAAAACCAGTGCTCCCAATGAGGGAAGAATTAATCCTGAGCAGGATCAGCCACCTAAGAGTGAGAATTTAGACAGAGAAAGTTAAGTGGTCCTGCTCACATTTAAGTCCTGAATGAGAATTATACAATTGGGGGGGAAATTTGGGATTCACATCAATTTTGCTGTTTGTTAAAGAAATTAGATTTGTTTTTTAACACATTTTATGTGATAAATAAACACTGTGACTTAGTAAATTAGGTTAAAGTTGAGACAAACACAAGATTAACTCTTAAAGGTCCAAACCTAAGCAGAATCAGTCAATTAAATTCTTCCGCTCAGGTGAAGCTGACCTGAAATAAGGTCCACCCCCCATGTGAATAATAATTTTATCATTAAAGAAAACTAAGAGCTGTTGAATCAAGATAGAGGAAAAACTTTTTGCTCATAGGAAAAGTAAATCAGTTTTATGATTTATTTTTTTTTTTTGCAAATATAAATGATAAATCCCTAATTAGCACCAG